ATCCGGGAACTGAAAGCTTTGTTGAGACGTATACTTCGAAGTGTCCTCCACAAACTGCTGGAAAAAAACGGGTGGGGGATCCCTCCCTTAAGTCTTTTGAATCTGTGACTTCTGATGCGTACTGTTATTAGTAAAGTAAAATATTAAAAATCGGGTTCTATTAGAGTAAGTTTATAGCCACATGTTTAATTGAGTTTAAAATACTCTTCCTGTTTTACTAGATTTTATATAATTTGTGTAGTTTTGTCAGCGACAACTGACAACAAATAAAATAAGAAGGATGAAATACAGAATAATTTCATTTACACTATGCACACATTTTATCTGATTTCGCTTTTTTTTCCAATGAGCTTTCTCCAACAAAATGTGTTTCATCAGTTTAAGAAAGCTCCGAACGCATCACGAATTTTTGCTAAAAACTGTTGCGACTATGATTGAGCGAGATTTCCAAAATGGTGGTAGGTGACGGAGATTGCCGGAATTATACAAACATAAAGCCAGCCTTTCCTGAATGATTTATTTAGATCGAACCTACGGTTACCAAGATACATTTTTGCTGGAGATATGTTATCTAAATTGCAACTTCAGTACCAAGGTCAAAAACATTGCTCAGTCTCATAAGCCGAGAGTAAACATCAGACCTGTGAGTCGTGACGCAAATCTACGTAATAGATGCTCATGCATGCTTTCTGAAAGGGATCGCACGTCTGGTAAAGGGATGCCAGCTGAAATGTTTTTATAGAGTTAGTTAGTGCAGTAAAAAATGTTCCAAGTTGGATTAGAAATTTAGAATTTATTGATAAAAATGAATTTGATAAATTTAAATATACATTGTTTAATGACTTTTCTTTGATGTAAAAGGAACAATCACAGCGAAAGGTTTTTGGTTTAGTCGAAGACTGACTCTTGTGTGACGCACGGAAATGATACAAAATTTAGATAGAGGAGAGATGTCGAATAACACTTTATAAAAGTGTAGAAGGCGAAAGTAGCATCTACGGGAGATAAGGTCTGGCAGCTTTAGTTTACGGAGAAGATCATCGCCGTTAGAATGGAAACCACACAAAATCATACGTACTGCTAGCCTGTGCGTAGAAGCTAGCCTAGAATAGAAAGACGTAAACAACTGTCGTAAACAATTGACCCATAGTCTATAGCACTCATGATACACGCCCGATAGATTTGTAGCTTAATTTCCGCTGGAGCATGTCTGAATATTCTATTCATCGCATCTAAGCGACGTCTAAGCGAAATAACTAGTCTGTCTACATGAACATCCCAGCGAAGATTAGAACAAATAGCCCCACCTAATAAACACAGACTCTCTACTCTCTGAATGGAAACACCTGCAAGATTGAACTGCAGAAGATCCCCATGCTGAGGGAAATTCGAAACAAACATCCATTCACACTCAGAAGTATTGATACAGATAAGATGTGAAGTGCACCACTCCTTGATAGAGTTTATGCATGATTAACAATTAGCTAGAGGCGCAAGAACGATTGCGGGAGAGAGTAGAGTACAGTCATCAGCAAAAAGAGAAGTAATCGAAGGTATGGAAATATGATCGGGTAAATCATTGACGAAAATGAGAAAGAAAAGGGGTCCCAGGATTAAACCCTAAGGCACCCCTGATGGAATAAACGAGCGAGTAGAAAGGGAATCACCGATGCGAATTTGCTGAGTACGATTAGACAAATAACTAGAAAACCACATGAACATTTCGCTCTTAACACCAAGAGTAGAAAGACGCGTTAGAAGTAACTGGTGAGGAGTTCTACCGAACGCCTTCTCTAGATCAAATGTTACAAGAACAGAATCAATGAAAGAATTCATGTTTTCATAAAGATGATGACGAAGAAACAAGAGCGCGTCAATTGTAAAAGATTTCGGTAGAAAACCGAACTGATTAGAAGAGAAGAAAGAATGAAAACTTAAAAATCCAAACAGTTGGTCAAAAATAAACCTCTCAAGGACTTTACTTATAACGCATAATAATGACACTGGGCGATAGTTCTCTACCACGCATTTCGAATCTTTCTTATGAATAGGACACACTATAGCGTTTTTCCAAATGGACGGGAATAATCCATCTTTGAGTGAAGCAGAAAAAATTCGATGTAACTGTGGTGTAGTGACTGCCGCTGTCAAAGAGGAAAAGAAAAAAATATTATTTTGTACTATCGATGAAAGAGCAAATAACAGAATAGAATTATAGAAGAGGTTAACAGTTTTATTACAGATGAATTTGTTTATTACTTTTCTTGCGTCAGCTAACTTTTTTAGAAAACGTGTCATTTTATATCCAGTATCTAGAGCAAGAAATACGCTTAATCATAAAGGCGTCAAAAATAAATTGATGACTATTATTTTAATATCAACGAACAATATACTTATTGGAGTATGTCTTTCATCATATACTGGTCTCATTGTTTTTAATCATTCATTATCACACATAAGTTACCTAACAGCCACATAAGTGTCACAATTATCAACTATTTATATTGACCGTTTGAAAAAATGGTTTCCACAAAAGCAAGAAAGTAAACGCATTGTAGATTTATCAGATATAGAAAAAACAAGGAATGTAATGATACTCAATAAATACGACGATATAATAATAACATGGTTTGACGATAACATTGATTATGAAATTAAAGAACAATTGACACAATTGCACGATCATATAATAATTTGTAGTAGGAAAGAACAATTATTAAACACTGTGGATAATATTGAAAATTATAAAATTATTCTAATTGTATCTGGCCAATATTCACGTCAGACCTTACAATTATTGCATAGTAATGAAAAAATTAATTCTGTTTATATTTTTTGTATAATTAAAGAATTATATCAAGATTTAGTGAAAAATAAACAATATTCAAAATTAATTCGTATATTTGTTGAATATGATGAATTATTTCAAATATTAGAGAAACGTATAAATTCGTTACTAAAACATTTATCTACATTTACTTTATTTACTCAGAATGATAAATCAATGCGTAATTTAGAACAAGAATCTGTTCATTATTTGTGGTATCAATTACTTCGTGATACATTGATAAATATGCAAACATATGATTCAAAACAAGAAATGATTGATTATTGTCAAGTATATTATCATGCTGACATAGCAATGTTAAAACAAATTAATGAATTTGAAAAGACATTCAAATCAAGTGATGATATTCATATAAATTCTTTCAATTTTCCAAAGAATAATAATTTTGAACAGCTCTATCAATCGTCTGATGTTATTCGATGATATACAAAAAAATGCATTTCCATTTAAATTTATTAATCAAGCATTACGTACTGAAAATATCGATGCTTTATATAAATTAAGATATTTTATTGTTAATTTTTGTACGAGTTTAAAACGAATATTTGATGAAAATTTAGAACTCTATGAAGATGTTTTTGATCCGTTCTTAATTGTTTATCGTGGTTTAACATTATCTAATGAAAATATTGAACAGTTAAAACAATCAGTTGGTAAATATATATCAACAAATGGCTATTTATCAACAAGTTGTTCACGTTAAGTAGCTGAAACATTTTCCACAAATATTTTATTTGAAATTAAAATTGAACGAAAACAATTGAATAATAATCTAATTTATGCTCATATCGCCGAATAGAGTATGATACCGGCTGAAGAAGAAGTTCTGTTTGATTTGGGTGCTCTATTTCAGATTAAAGATGTTAAATATGATACGGATAAATGGATTGTATCAATGATAAGTATTGATTCAAAAAAAAAAAAATAAAATATTTAAAAAATGATTATATTAGTATACAACGTGAAAAAGTATATAAACATTATTCAACAAAAATTTTATTTGGTAAATTTTTATTAACAACGGGTCATTTTCATAGAGCCATTGAATATTTTGAAAATTTATTACAAACAACATTAACTGATATTGAACGATACAATATTTATGTAAAGCTTTCTGATGCTTATAATAGTACGAGACAATATAATTTAGCACTCAATTATGTATTAATGACTACGGATCTTGAAACTACTTTATTTTCTCAATCTTGGATATGTCCCTATAATTTAATGCCATTAGGACAACTTTATCAACAGCAAAACAATTTTGATTATGCACTTCAATACTATGAAAAAGCATTAGACACTTTTGATATATATAATCAACGAGCAATAGCAATTCTTCATTCACAAATAGGAGAAATTTATTATAATCAAAACAATTGTTTGTATGCTTTAAAACATTTTCAAATACCATTAGAAATTTATCAAGAATTTTATCCAGACGATTATGATGGATATATTACGGCACATTTCAATATGGATCGCATTTATGATCAAACAATGAATTATTCTATGGCACTGAAATATTTTCAAATATAATTAATTGTAAGTGAAAACATTTATCCAGATGATCATCCGAATACAAAAAGAACGTATATTTTGATCGGTAAGATTTATTATAAAATGAATGAATACAATTTAGCTATTGAATACTTGACCGGCTTAAAATTAACAGATAATAGTCTGTCTAATGCTTGGATATACAGTAGTACTGGTGATTGTTATGAAAAACAACAACTGTATAATCATGCAATTGATTACTATATGAAATCATTGACAATGATTGAAAAGATTTTACAAAATAATGATAGCTTATCATGTCTTGAAACTGAACTTGGACGTTTAAATAATTGTATTGGATTATGTTACGATAGAAATGGTCAGTCTAATACGCTAGTACTGAACTATTACAAGAAATCATTAGAGTATTATAAAAACTGTGATAATTTTGAAAATTGTATTATTGTCTATAAAAATATTGCTATATTTTGCTCGAAGAAAAATGATTATCATTTATCAATAGAATACGTTAGAATGTGTCAAATTCAAAAGATATAAATACAACTTTGAATTTGTACAATCTACTGGCTGTTTTACACATGCAACTCGGTGTATATTATTACACTGTAAAACAGTATTATAATTCGTCAATCCAACAATTTCAAAACGCACTAAAAATCAGACAAAATATAATACCAGCAACAACAACAAGTACAACATTCATTGCTGACATTTATCAACATATAGGCGTTTGTTACCACAAAAGAAAAGTGTACAATATAGCTATTGAATATTATAGAAAAACATTGGAAATTGTTCGAGAAGAAAATGATGACTGTAAAACAGCAGTATTGAACAAAAATATTGCTGATTGATTTGAGAAAATGGGTAGTGTGAGTGAAGAATCTAAGTGGAAGATGTGACTGCAATTATTTTATTTGAAATGTTTTGTCACCATCTGTGGATTAATAAGAAAATATTTTATGTGAAACGAAGGCGAGTAAAAACAATGATCGAAAGATAAAAGAAAAGCGTGACTTTTCCAAAACATGGTGGTCAGCAAAAATTACCTCCATAAACAAAGCTTGCTGCACGAGTCCGCTTGCACGAAAACAACCTTACACTCTGAGCTACAAATTCTAACGTTGAAAATAAAAAAATAAATTGTCCCTGAAAACTATAAGTTTTTTAATATAAAGAATAATGGGGTATATTTTTTACGTCTTTTTAGTGAAAAAAGCGATTTTTTGACTTCGGAAAAGTTTTCTTGCTAAACTAATGAGATATTCATAATCAGGAGATAAGACTGAATCGAATAATGTCCTCTACGACCGTTCTCTCCTTAGAATATTTTACTGGCACACAGTGGCAACCACGTGGATATTAGGAAAAAAAATGAAAGTGAGCGTTTTGAAGTTTTGAGTAGTGTCGTATATACTTTGACTCATGGTTTATATATACTCTGACTATCATGACCACCGAATCAAGTTGTAGCTTTGCAACATCATCCATTACATGATTATTATCTGCTGTTAGTAATAAGCTAGCTTGGTTTATGTCAATCGACAGCAATGATTTATCACAACTTTAAGAACTATTTGCATTATAACAAATTACATTACGATCTCAATGTATGACGATTTGAGTTTTCAATGCACTTTGTTTACTAATGCATATTTACGCTTCGTTTATGTGTGTTTGTGCTTAGAAAGCTAAAATCTTTTCCAGATTAATTATAGTTCTGTTTTAGTTTCAAAGTATATTATATTCAAAGAAGAAATAAATCCGGTTCACTGGTGGGTTTATCGAAATAACGACAAGCTTGTTGATATCAACAACTATTGATAATAGTATAGGCCAAAGTCGTGGGAGTAATGATAACAGTAAAGATGGTATCACTGGGGTGTAAATAAAGATTATTTTAAAAGGCCCTTTGTGAGATTGTTGCACGCGGTTTTAGAGTATTACTAGCTAAAAAGCTGTTGGATTTTAAAAAGCAAAAGATGTTCTAAACTGTTATTCGTCAGTTTTGCTTCCACTTCCGATTACAATATTTTTATTTCTCGTAACAAGTAACGCTCATCTTCGATTCACTAACCCTTGACTGAAAGATCCTGGTGCTAACGAACCCGACACGTACAGTGGGCGAAATTCGCAACTTACAGAAAATGATTTTTGTTGTCTTCGGTATAGTTGTATAAGACTACTCGAGTTATCTACTTAAAACTGATTTTGATACGTCTAGAAGTCATTGTGAAAAACTTTTGATGGTTTGAAAATAGTCCAAAATGAGGAAAATATTCGTATTACTTCTTCCGAAAGTTCACAAGTAGTTTTCTCTGGCTCCCCTCGGGAAGTTTAAAAAGCTAACTCTTGCTGTCATCTAAGAAACAAATACGCCCCCAAAATATCCCCAAAACGAGCAAACCAGACAAGCTAGCAGACGGAGAGATACGCGTCAACACTAAACATTCTAATCAACATCAACGAACAAGTCACTGCCAACCGTTTCGGCAGTTCTTCCTTCATTCCGAACTGCAGAAAGACTTACTCGGAAAAGAACTTCTAAACAATCAATAAACAAACCGCTAACTCGAAAACACACGATACAGTCCGCCTCAAAACAAAACTAATACCAAAAACAAATGACGAAAAGCATGAGTGACATAACACTACCAGAACCTCCGTACACCGTAAATCAATCTGCACTCCAGCAACAGTATATGGCTTCCGACACTCTAGAAAGAACAACCACACAAAACCACAAACACACCGGTGCTGAACACACAACTACGAAACACGACACACACGCCTACTACCAGGTGTCGCACCAAAGCAACCATTTGCACCACAACACTACCATCAACGATACACACTGACAACGAAACCCAATACACAGCAAAAAACATATCCACCTGTCCGTCAAACACACACAATCACCAACTACCACAAAACTCAAACCCTGATTGGGCCAAATTAAGAAAAAACGGCTAGTAGTATCACTACTCTACTACTGCGGACGGACGGACATTTCGTTTGTATGACCCAAGACTTTCAGTCAAGGAAATAAGAAAATCTTGGTTCCCCAAACTATTGTTTTTGTCTACCAGTATTTCTATTCGTGGTTGTTTAGAATCAAATATCTCGTTTATTTCAGTACATTTAAGTCTGATCTAAGTTTTTTTATTAGTATGTTGTGAGATAGAGTGTACTATTTTTAGATATTGTTAAGCGTGGAAACAGTTTATTATTCTACACGAAAACAAACGTTTGATCAGACCAAAAATAGTCATTGAAGTTAAAATGGTATCGTTTGAATTGCTAATTCCTTTTTGCTACCTGTGGTTTAGTTATACTTAATCAATTGTTATCAGACAATTAGAACTGAAAATTTAAATTATCAAGCTTAAATAAACATGAAAGAGGACAGTTGTCTAATATGCTTATATAGAAAGGATATCAAGCCAAAGATTAGAGCCAATTTAGTTAGAGAAATAGTCGTTAGTTTCAATTTCAACAGAGACTGCTGCTGCTTTTTTTATAGGTATGAGATCGATTACTCCAATCAGATGTTGGCGATATTTAAACTACAGAAGTTGGGCTGAAAACCTGAACTTAGTCTTTTTCAAAGACAAAATCGAAGATCCCTCTGAAATCTTTGTCCGTCCGGACACAATAGAAGATTCGGGTCTTATAATATGTCCACCCCGTTAGTGTAAAATTTTGGATCTGCGTCTCGTCCCAGAACTACTCCCAGTCCACGCGAAGCTCTAGTATACGACCTCTGAAAATAATTTCTAGAATTAGTTCATCAGCTAATAGTTTCATCAGCTAATTCATTTAAAATGTTCGATGAAACCACTTTTCTGTATTCTATAGATTCACCTACTTTTTTCACAAGATTCTTGTCTTTAATTCAAACTCGATTTGTTCTCAACCTTGAGTCTCTGTAGCAAACTCAGAGCACCAAATAGAGAACGAGAACAATTGTCGCGTTCAAGCTTCTCACTTACATTTCTTTTGTGACTAAGATTAGTGAGAAAAATGTCTCGGTTCAAAAAACCATCACAAAGGTAAAGAAAGGGTGTTTATTTTCAAAAAACTTTTTAGATGTTTGGAACTGCTTAAGACTTGCATCTCCTTCATCTAATTCTTTTACCTCTCCAAACTAGAGACCTGCAGGTCACGCACAACCTGTCCTAACCTGTCCTGTCCTGGCAGGTTAGGACAGGTTTAGGTCACGAAAATTTTTACAGGACAGGTTACACTACCCGTATCCTGTTTTCAACCTGTAAAAAATATATTAAGCGCCATCTGTAAAGGAGAAAAAGTAAGAACTCGAAAAATAGTTTTTATTAGTCAAAAAAATATTTACGGCAGCAGGAAGAGTACTGGAAACACAAAGACAGTCGTTGAATCCAGATGTTGTTGACGATATATTATTGATCAGAAATTTCAGAGATCTTTTGTTGTTGTTTTTTGCTGCATAAGTAAAGTAAATGAAAATAATTTACTTTATTAGGAAAAATTTTCGAACTTGAGTACTCATTTTTTGCAGTAATTTTTTCGCAAGACAGGGTAGACGCAAAACTATTGCAGGTTAGGACAGATTACAGGTTACGAGGCATAAGGTTATGAAAAGTTGTAGGTTGTTAAAATTTTTACAAGACAGATTATAGGTTATGAAAAAGTTGTAACCTGCAGGGCTCTACTCCAAATCCACTAAGATTGGACCGTCTAAGAATTTATAGATGAACGACCAAACGAGTGTGAGACCAGTATGGAATACTTTGGAGTCAGAATAGTTTAATAAATATTGACAAATCCTTTGCTTCAAATACGGTTGGATAATTGTATAAGCGAAGCTTTTTATCCAATGTTTTGACGAAGCGGAAGGCTGCATCATCATCATTACACATGTAATGAAGTTTTGGATGTTGGTGTCACAAATATGAGTAAACAGAAACAGAGTGGAACAAAAACCTATAGAACACGTTTGATAATTTAAGTCCACAATGTTTTCATCCTCTTATTGTCCGTATATGCACAGATTGGCAATAAAATTAGTAATACTGCTGTATCCCAATCCAGAGGTGTATTTACTATGTTCGGCCCTATACTCCGATGGTTTTCATGGTAAAACCAGGAAGAACTATATACTGATAAAAGAATCTCTCTCTATTTCATCATTACCACCTGATCTGAACGGCACAGTTCAATCAGCACCATTAATTGTGACGGTTTATCAAACAACAATAAGGTAAAATTTGATCCAGAAGAAGAGAGAACAATTGAGTGCAAATGAATGAATAAATCAATCGAAAAGTTGCAGTAAAAATGTAAGAAAAGGAAACAAGAGAAAGTTCTTTTTCTTCCCTTTCCAGTAATCTGTATAAGGTGTATTTCTCCTAGTACTTCGGTAAAAACATTGACAAGTTATAGTTAAAAATATTGAGATATGCATTTTCCGGAAGTTTATTCGACACGAGAAAAGCTTTTATAATTTCACAAGAAAAGATGCAAAAATACTTAACTTTCCAAAAATAAAAAATACGGAC